AGTGACATTGGTAATGGCATTTGATGTGTTGGGGCCAGAGGTGGTGTTAAATATCCTATAATGCACATGACAGCCCTCTACAGCAAAGAATTATCCAGCCCCAAATGTCAACATGGCTGATGTTGGGAAACCCCGATTTACATGATCACACTTTATGTTCAGTTTTATAGTCATACTTAATAATGTATCATGGACACTTTCTCATGTCAAAACCTAGAGTTTTACCATATCTCTTTGTATTCCTAATTCAATAATAAATTTTTAAATGAGAAAGGAATTTTATCCAAATGTTCCCATCTATTGAGAGAAACATAAGTTCTTTTCCTTTAATATATTAATAGTGTATACTATGAATTCATTTTCTAATGTCAAGTAATTCTTATAATTCTCAAGTAAGCCTTTGTGATAAAAAATTTTAATCTCCAAGAACTCTTTCCTTTCTCAACTGTCTTTAAAAATTTTTTTATGGCATTTTGTATCTTTTGCAGATTCTTTGTGTCTTTAAATCTCTCTGAGGACAATAATTAGAAGTTTTTAGATGGTCTCTTCTATTCACGAAATATCTCTTTCTTCTAGAATGGGTTGCTCTGCCTTGTTTATCTTAAAGCTTTTCTCAGGCTCTTGTTTTGCTTTGACTATCTGGGGACTCTAACTTGTTCATGCATATTTTTCGACGACAGACTTGGTTGTGCAGCATTCAAGCTGGCCCAGGTACCCCAGGGTACCTCCACAGTCCTAAAGGTCTGTTCCACCATAGCTCTTCCCCCGAATAGGATAACGGGCAGGAATGTGCTGACAGACAGTATTCCTTTTGGAGTGAGTGCAGATTGCACAGGTGGGAAAAGTCCAGCTAAGCTCAAGCCCCCTACTTGCTGCAGTAAGAAAGACCTAATGTGGCATCAGAGTGCTATCGTGTATTTCACCCCCTGCCCTTGCTCTGCTTCCTTTTTTCTTTGTGTCTGCTGTGGGGTTGCAAAGCTGCCCTGGGTTCTACTCAACTTCTGTCTTGGACACCAGTGATCTCGCTGGCAGTCTTCCCCTTTTATTTAGATTTTTTTTTTCATATCTAACTTGGATGCAAATGTCTCCACTAGGTATTCTATCTACAAACAGTACAAATAATTATCCTATTCCATGACGCACTCCCCAACTCCAACTCAGTATGAACTTGGAGTTCCTGCTAGAAACCACTGGGGAGAGTGGTGCTCAGCTGTGTATCAGACCTCGATTTTGGACAGCAGGTTTCTTATTTAGAGTTTCTTCATTGGGCAAAGAACTTCCTTTGATGTATTTCTTATCCCCTCAGTGAGATTTTGGCAGGTATGAGAGATAAACACATTTGCTTAGGACACTGTCTTGAACAAGTTAATATACAACTTTTAAATTTCAAAACGTATATTCAAAATCAACTTTCCAAATTAAATCTGCACCAGTTTACACTTCTATCAACAGTAAACAAGAGTGTCAACTTCCCCATTCCCATGCAACCTCCAGGCAAAATCTCGACTTTAAATTCTTATCTTCATAGATTCATAGATTCATAGATTCAAAATATTTTCTTTTTCTTTTGATTTGTATTTCTTTGTCAGCGAATTTAATATCTTTTCATCTTTGTAATAACTTCTTAGTTTCTGTTTCTGTGAATTTTCAGTTTGATCCCCATTTATTGTTCTATTGAAGTGTTTGTTGAATTTTTTTTTTTTTTTTTCTTTACGCGGGCCTCTCACTGTTGTGGCCTCTCCCATTGTGGAGCACAGGCTCTGGACGCACAGGCTCTGCAGCCATGGCTCACGGGCCCAGCCACTCCGCGGCATGTGGGATCTTCCCTGACAGGGGCACGAACCCATGTCCCCTGCATTGGCAGGCGGACTCTCAACCACGGCGCCACCAGAGAAGCCCATGTATTATTGATTTGAAAAATATTTGTACGTACTGAGTGTATTAATTATATCTCTGCCATGTTACATGTATTTTTCCCAGTTTGTCACTTGTATTTTGTTTTTATGGATGGCCTATTTTTCTCTAGAAGTTTAAAAATAATTTTAAAAATAAGTTTGATAATCAAACCTGTCAATATTTTCCTTTATGGTTTCTAATTTTAGTGTAATACTTAGAACATTCCTTTATTCTACTTTCTTTTGTTTTCTGTTTCTTGAGATAAATTCATAATGATCAATATTTCTTATTTATTCATATAAATATTTATAGCATTGAATTTTTCTCTGAAAAAGGTTTTTGCTATGTCCCCAAAGTTTTGATAAGTAATGTGACATTGTTGCTATATTCTAAATAATCTGTAATTTCAGGGGTTCTTTTTTTTCACTTTTATTGTGTAACTTAAGTTTTAATTTCTCCTTTACCTAAGAGTTATTCAGAGGTGTCATTTAATATTTCCATGCAATTTCTTTTTTAAAAGTTATCTTTTAGTATGGTACTGGCACAAAAACAGAAATATAGATCAATGGAACAGGATAGAAAGCCCAGAGACAAACCCACGCACATATGGTCACCTTATCTTTGACAAAGGAGACAAGAATATACAATGGAGAAAAGACAGCCTCTTCAATAAGTGGAGCTGGGAAAACTGGACAGCTACGTGTAAAAGAATGAAATTAGAACACTTCCTAACACCATACACAAAAATAAACTCAAAATGGATTAAAGACCTAACTGTAAGGCCAGACACTATAAAACTCTTAGAGGAAAACATAGGCAGAATACTCTTTGACATAAATCACAGCAAGATCTTTTTTGACCCACCTCCTAGAGTAATGGAAATAAAATAAAAAATAAACAAATGGGACCTAATGAAACTTAAGAGTTTTTGCACAGCAAACCATAAACAAGACAAAAAGACAACCCTCAGAATGGGAGAAAATATTTGCAAATGAAGCAACTAATAAAGGATTAATCTCCAAAATATACAAGTAGCTCGTGCAGCTCAACATCAAAAAATCAAACAACCCAATCCAAAAATGGGTGGAAGACCTAAATAGATGTTTCTCCAAAGAAGACATACAGATTGCCAACAAACACATGAAAAGATGCTCAACATCACTAATCATTAGAGAAATGTAAATCAAAACCACAATGAGGTATCACCTCACACCGGTCAGAATGGCCATCATCAAAAAATCTACAAACAATAAATGCTGGAGAGGGTGTGGAGAAAAGCGAACCCTCTTGCACTGTTGGTAGGAATGTAAATTGATACAGCCTCTGTGGAGAATGGTATGCAGGTTCCTTAAAAAACTAAAAATAGAACTACCATATGACCCAGCAATCCTACTACTGGCCATATACCCTGAGAAAACCATAATTCAAAAAGAGTCATGTACCACAATGTTCACTGCAGCACTATTTACAATAGCCAGGACATGGAAGCAACCTAAATGTCCATTGACAGATGAATGGATAAAGAAGATGTGGTACATATATATACAATGGAATATTACTCAGCCATAAAAAGGAACGACATTGAGTTATTTGTAATGAGGTGGATGGACCTAGTGTCTGTCATACAGAGTGAAGTAAGCAGAAAGAGAAAAACAAATACCGTATGCTAACGCAGATATATGGAATCTAAAAAAATGGTACAGATAAACCTAGTGGCAGGGCAGGAATAAAGACGCAGATGTAGAGAGTGGACTTGAGGACACAGAGCGGGAAGGAGAAGCTGGAACGAAGTGAGAGAGCAGCACTGACATATATACACTACCACATGTGAAATGGATGGCTAGTGGGAAGCTGCTGCATCACACAGGGAGATCAGCTCGATGCTTTGTGATGACCTAGAGGGGTGGGATAGGGAGGATGGAGGGACACTCAGGAGGGAGGGGATATGGGGATATATGTATACTTATAGCTGATTCCCTTTGGTGTACAACAGAAACTAACACAACATTGTAAAGCAATTATTCTCCAATAAATATATATATATATAAAATAAAAGTTATCTTTTTATTGATAGCTTCTATTTTTTATTTTGTTCAGAGATTTCTACTTTGTAGAATTTATTATTTATTGATAATATGATCCCTTAATCGCTATGCAATTTTATTTATTCTGAAAAACTCATCTCTAACCATCCTCATGAGATCACTCACACTAAGAGATCACTCACACTAATCGTCACCTCTATTCACAGAGCAGGTCTTTCCCAGTCTCACCCAATCTGCTGTAATTTGATTCTCACTGGCTCCTCTCTCTTCAGAGTGACTCTTCCTTTATACTTTCTTTCCATTTCTATAAACATGTGTGAAATTATCTGAGGTATGTAGATAATGGTCTTTTGGAGCATTGGAAGAGTCTTAGTATGGATCCAGACCACAGCCAGGTGGAAGCTTATGCAGACCTTGAACTAGACCTGCAAGGTAATATAGACCCTCCAACAACAGATGCAGCAACGTCTGCTGGGAGATTGGGAAGAAGTCCAGTTCAAATGGGCAGAACAAAATGTTAGAGAGATCTAGAAAATCCAACAAAATTGATCTCAGATTAGTCCAAAAGCAGGGTAGCAAAAGCTTTAAGAGGCTTGTAGAACAAATAAAGGCGAATTCTGCAGGTAATGGAAATCAGAGATAGGCAGCCAGAGAGATCAACCATGGAATCAACAATTGAGAAGAATTCTGGTCTCCAAACCCCAAAAGATTGCTGACCTGGAAAGGTGACCAAGAATTAGAGCACAGAACATGGTAGAAGAATGCTAGGCACTGCAATTCAGGTAAAGTATCAGAGGTGTGAAACAGTAAGTGTGATGACATCAAGTCCAGTGTTTTGGGGTTAATGCCTTCTTCCAAAGATTAGAATTGGCCCTAGTGATGAGGTATCTCTTGGTTTAGGGTAGCGAGTTGGTGTCAGGAGGGAGTGATATCAGGCATAATTTGACATAGCATATGTAAAACTTAGTTATCCCACTGAAAATATCCCTCTGTAAATGGAGCTAAGCAATGGAATTTTTTTTTTTTTTTGGCCACACTGTGTGACTTGCAGGATCTTGGTTCCCTGACCAGGGATCAAACCCAGAACCCCTGCAGTGGAAGTGCAGAGTCCTAACCACTGGACCACCAGGGAATTCCTGAACATTATCTTTTTTTTTCAGTTTTATCGAGATATACTTGACATACAGCACTATATAAGTTTAAGATGTACAGCATAATGACTGTACATATGTTGTGAAATGACTACCTCAATAAGTTTAATTAACATCCATCATCTCATATAGATACAAAAAAAAAAAAGAAAGAAAGAAAAAAAGTGTATTTTTCCTTGTGGTGAGAACTCTCAGGATTTACTCCCTTAACCACTTTCAAATATACAGCAGTGTTAACTATAGTCATCATAGTGTACATTACATTCCCAGTACTTATTTATCTTGTAAATAGCAGCTTGTACCTTTTGACCACCTTCATGCAATTCTCCCACCCAAACTCCCACCCCGCCTCTGGCAACCACAAATCTCATCTCTTTTTCTATGAGTTTTTTTCCTTTTTTTAAAGATTCCACATATAAGTGAGATAATACAGCATGTGTCTTTCTCTGCCTGACATTTCACTGAGCATAATGCCCTCAAGGTCTATTCATGTTGCAAATGGCAGGGTTTCCTTCTTTTTTATGGCTGAATAATATCTGGAACGTTATCTTTATTAAAAATAATCAAATGTTCAATTCGCACATTGAAATAAATTGATAATAGAACTGATAACTATTTTTCAGCTTTATTGAGGTCTAATTCCTGTATTTAAAAACTGTGCATATTTAATGTATACAATTAGATGGGTTTGGACATATGCATACACCTGTGATAACACTGCCACAATGAAGGTAGTAAACTTATATCCATCACTCCAAAAGTTTCTTTGCGTCCCTTTGTTTATTTGTTTTTTGTGGAAAGAACACTTAGCATGAGATCTATCTTCTTTTTTAAATAATTTAATTTAATTTAATTTTTAAAATTTATTTATTTTGGTTGTGCTGGGTCCTAGTTGTGGCAGGCAGGCTCCTTAGTTGGGGTTCGCCAGCTCCTTTAGTTGCAGCATGTGTGCTCCTTGGTTGTGGCTGGTGGGCTCCTTAGTTGCGGCTTGCAGGCTCCTTAGTTGTGGTATATGTGCTCCTTAGTTGTGGCTCGCGGACTGCTTAGTTGTGGCATTCGAACTCTGAGTTGTGTCATTAGAACTCTTAGTTGCAGCATGCATGTGGGATCTAGTTCCCTGACCAGGGATGGAACCTGTGTCCCCTGCATTGGCAGGCGGATTCTTAACCATTGCACCACCAGGGAAGTTCCCATTTAACAAATTCTTAAGTGCACAATATCGTACGGTTGATCTTAGGCACTATGTTGTACAGAGCATCTCTAGAGCTTATTCATCTTATATAACTGTGACTTTCTACCCATTGAATAACACCTCCCCATTTCCCCTTCTACCCAGTGGCTGAAAACCACCATTCAATTTTCAACTTCTCTAAGCTTGACTATTTTATGTACCTCACGTAACAAGAATCATAAAAGTATTGTCCTTCTATTACTGACTTATTTCACTTAGTGTGATGTCTTCCAGGTCCATCCATGTTTTTGCAAATGGTGGGATTTTCTTCTTTTTTCAAGGCTGAATAATACCCCATTGTATGTATATACCATATTTTCTTTATCCATTCATCTGTTGGTGGACATTTGGGTTGTTTCCATGTCTTGGCTATCATGATTAGTGTTACAGTGAACATGGGTGTGCAGATATCTCTTTGAAATACTGATCTCCCTTCTTTTCGGTATATACCCAGAAATGAGATTGCTGGATCATATGTTAGTTCTAATGATAACTTTATCTTACTATTGTACCGAAGTGTAGACTAATATTAATATAGTTCTCACTTGACTGAGTAAAGACTTGAATGTTTCTATGGACACGTTAAAAAAAAATGTAAATGAAAACCCCAGATCCTAACACACTGTAAGCCCTCAATAAATATTTTTCAATTAATGAATGAATAAATGACTTCGTACAATATGTAAGAGGGAAAAAAGTGAGAAAAACAAAAGACCCATTAGTAAGGTCATAGGAAAGCATAATACATTCATATTTTGTAATATTGTATGATCATGAAAAAATAATCAGATAGAACTTTTTGTACTCACAATGAAGCATGTTTATGATTTTTTTAACCCAGAAATAAAGAGAATATGGCTCTCCATGTATCCATTATCCAGATTCAACAATTATCAACATTCCGCAGTTCTCATTTCATCTATCTTCCTCTTTTGTTCATGATATATTTGATAAGTGAAACACACAAATACACATAGTATCATCCAACTTTTGTTTAAAAAGTAACACACTGAGAAAGAGAGAGAGAGAAGGTGTGTGGGTGCATGCAGTAAGGGATCTGGGAAAAAACATATCAGACCGTTAAGTGACTAACCCTAGTGTGTGGGAATGAGGTAGTTAAGAGTAAGATAGGAAGATAAGATTTTGATTTTTTACTTTATACTCCTGTGTTCTTGGTTGGTTGTTCTAACAACATCATGTATTACTTTTGCAACTATTGATAAAATATATAATGAAAAAAAGGAAAGCATTTTATATAAAGGGCTTAACAAAATAACCGACATTATTATTTTTATTAACTTCAGTGCTCAAAGAAGAAATTGAATTTAGCATTTAGGTATGGCTTTTGTAATATTTTCCGTTTTCTACCACATCAGATACAAACAATACATTACACCAGTTTTAGTATATATGCTGTCAATGTGACCACATGTAGACAACTCGTACTATTGCTGGTAAAGAAAACTAAGCTATCCAGGGACTTCCCTGGTGGTCCAGTGGTAAAGAATCCACATTCCAATGCAGGGGATGCGGGTTCGATTCCTGGTCAGAGAACTAAGATCCCACATGCCACCGGGCAACTAAGCTGGCTCGCCATAACTACCGAGCCAGCACGTCACAACTAGAGAGAAGCCCACGCGCCACAACAAAGGTCCCCGTATGCCACAACAAAGATCCGACGCAGGGCTTCCCTGTTGGTGCAGTGGTTGAGAGTCCGCCTGCCGATGCAGGGGACACGGGCTCGTGCCCTGGTCCGGGAAGATCCCACATGCCTCGGAGCGGCTGGGCCCGTGAGCCATGGCCGCTGAGCCTGCGCGTCCGGAGCCTGTGCTCTGCAATGGGAGGGGCCGCGACAGTGAGAGGCCCGCGTACCGCAAAAAAAAAAAAAAAAAAAAAATCAGCAAGTCCATGGAGATGCAGCAAACTTCAGGTGAGTCTAGGTCAACAGCACTCTCTAAGAGGGGAAACTTGACTCAGAAAAATGGGCATAGCAGTGTGTGCAGGATTTTTGGACAGCAATGATTCTCAGCATCAGGTGGGCTTCCAGGATTGTGAGTCAGGGAGGACTCAGAGTCCAGTTATTGCAAAAGGAATAGCAACGAGTCCTGGAGGGAAGTGGGAGGAATAAACTTGGTGAAGGGAACCTGGGTTATCGTCTACCAAGCTGGGATTCAGGGCCAAGCTTTGTTTCCAGTGGGGAAGCTGCATGGGGCCACAGAACGCTAGCGGACAAACCAGACAGGCTGGCTAGATCTGGAAGTGGTGAGTGTGTGTGAGTGTATCTGTTTGCTGGGGGCGAGGATTAGAGGCAGGCTGCGGCCCAGTGCTCACACGGTCATCCAGAAATCTCTGCACCTTTGGTGTGTCAATTATTTCCATACCCCCTCTCACTATCGGGGAAAGCTTCTCACTTCGTGCCAGACTGGGTTTTCATATGTTTGAAAACTGGGTAGGGTGAGCCAGCAAAGAGCAGGACGTGAGCAATCAGTGACTGACATTTGGCAAGTGGAGGAGGGAGCCGACTTCTCTGGGGCCGTCAGAGGCTGGAGGTTTCCTGTTGGTCTCAACCTATCCATAGTGATGCTATGGGCTAGACATGCCTGGGGGCCACTCACATGGGCCCAAGGGGAGCACCCGCAGACATTTCCCCTTTCAGAGTTAATATTGTGGCTGGACCAACCCTTGTGGTTCTTATGCTGATTGCAAGACACTCAGAGGTTACCAGGGAGAGGTTAGGGGAGAGGGAATGGGAGTCAGGGTTGAATGGGTATAGAGTTTCTGTTCAGGAAGATGAAAAAATTCTGGAAATGGATAGTGGTGATGGTTGTACAACATTGAATATTCTTAATGCCACGGAATTATACACTTAAAATGGTAGATTCTATGTTTTGTATACTTTACTACAGTCAGCAATAACCATCAGGGAACTTTAGAAAAAAAACAAGGTTTATTGGGACTTCCCTGGTGGTCCAGTGGTTAAGACTCTGAGATTCCACTGCAGTGGGCGCGGGTTCCATCCTTGGTTGGGGAACTAAGATCCTGCATGCCACACGGCGTGGCCAAAAAATTAAAAAACAAAACAAAACAAACAAAAACACTCCCCCAAAACCCAAGGTTTATTACTCACAGGTCCTGGAGGGCACATGGCACACCTGGAGCCACACAGCAAGGTCTCTGGTAAAGAGAGAGAGTGTGAGCATGGGCCTGGAATTCTGCTTTCTTTGGGGGTTGAGGCTGGGGTACCTAGGATTTCACACGTTCACTCTTTATTGTTGAATTTAAAGCAGGAATTAAAGATGGCAAGGGAAAAACAAGCAGCCAAATGGGGTCAGTGATCTGAGTCAACCAGAGAGCTCGGAAACAAAGGAACTTCAGGGGTGGGGTGGCCTGGCTCCTTAGTCATGTAGCTGGCAATGTGTTTATTCGAGAAGACAGTCTTTGAAGTGGATGCCTCAGCAATCAAAAGCTTCATGTCAGGCACTGGTATGACAATCAAAAAGGTCAGGCGCTTACACTACACTGAGCTAGGACCACGTGGCCAAGCCATGTGAGGCAGACTTAGCCCGCCACAGAAAAGAAGGTTGTCAGTTAGAACTGTCCAAAAGTGAATTCTCTATCACTTAAAAATGTTAGTTGAATTAGAGTTGTCTGAAGATCTGTAAGGGATACTATGGAGGGAATTCTTACCCAAGCCCTTAGCAAGCTGGTCAGCTCTGCCTCCAAAGTCTATCTGCAGTCTGAGCACTTTCC